TAGTCTATAGTCTAGTCTATAGTCTAGTCTATAGTCTAGTCTATAGTCTAGTCTATAGTCTAGTCTATAGTCTAGTCTATAGTCTAGTCTATAGTCTAGTCTATAGTCTAGTCTATAGTCTAGTCTATAGTCTAGATAGTCTAGTCTATAGTCCAGTCTATAGTCTAGTCTATAGTCTAGTCTATAGTCCAGTCTATAGTCTAGTCTATAGTCTAGTCTATATAGTCTAGTCTATAGTCTAGTCTATAGTCTAGTCTATAGTCTAGTCTATAGTCTAGTCTATAGTCTAGTCTATAGTCTAGTCTATAGTCTAGTCTATAGTCTAGTCTATAGTCTAGTCTATAGTCTAGTCTATAGTCTAGTCTATAGTCTAGTCTATAGTCTAGTCTATAGTCTAGTCTATAGTCTAGTCTATAGTCTAGTCTATAGTCTAGTCTATAGTCTAGTCTATAGTCTAGTCTATAGTCTAGTCTATAGTCTAGTCTATAGTCTAGTCTATAGTCTAGTCTATAGTCTAGTCTATAGTCTAGTCTATAGTCTAGTCTATAGTCTAGTCTATAGTCTAGTCTATAGTCTAGTCTATAGTCTAGTCTATAGTCTAGTCTATAGTCTAGTCTATAGTCTAGTCTATAGTCTAGTCTATAGTCTAGTCTATAGTCTAGTCTATAGTCTAGTCTATAGTCTAGTCTATAGTCTAGTCTATAGTCTAGTCTATAGTCTAGTCTATAGTCTAGTCTATAGTCTAGTCTATAGTCTAGTCTATAGTCTAGTCTATAGTCTAGTCTATAGTCTAGTCTATAGTCTAGTCTATAGTCTAGTCTATAGTCTAGTCTATAGTCTAGTCTATAGTCTAGTCTATAGTCTAGTCTATAGTCTAGTCTATAGTCTAGTCTATAGTCTAGTCTATAGTCTAGTCTATAGTCTAGTCTATAGTCTAGTCTATAGTCTAGTCTATAGTCTAGTCTATAGTCTAGTCTATAGTCTAGTCTATAGTCTAGTCTATAGTCTAGTCTATAGTCTAGTCTATAGTCTAGTCTATAGTCTAGTCTATAGTCTAGTCGATAGTCTAGTCTATAGTCTAGTCTATAGTCTAGTCTATAGTCTAGTCTATAGTCTAGTCTATAGTCTAGTCTATAGTCTAGTCGATAGTCTAGTCGATAGTCTAGTCTATAGTCTAGTCTATAGTCTAGTCTATAGTCTAGTCTATAGTATAGTCTATAGTCTAGTCTATAGTCTAGTCTATAGTCTAGTCTATAGTCTAGTCTATAGTCTAGTCTATAGTCTAGTCTATAGTCTAGTCTATAGTCTAGTCTATAGTCTAGTCTATAGTCTAGTCTATAGTCTAGTCTATAGTCTAGTCTATAGTCTAGTCTATAGTCTAGTCTATAGCCTAGTCTATAGTCTAGTCTATAGTCTAGTCTATAGTCTAGTCTATAGTCTAGTCTATAGTCTAGTCTAGTATAGTCTATAGTATAGTCTACGGCCTAGGCTGTAGTCTAGTCTATAGTCTAGTCTATAGTCTAGTCTATAGCCTAGTCTACGGTCTAGCCTTTAAGACTATTATTTTTCGGTGCTGCAAAAGTTCATAATAATTGTGTAGGGTACAACAATTATAAAAATATCTAAAAAGTACACACAATGTAATTTTAAACTGATAAAAATTTAAAACAAAAGTCATTTAAAAACTAAATACCGCACATACCCGTACATATAACAAGAGTAGAGGAAAAGAGTGCACTAATTTGGAGAAACAAAATGAAATAAGAAAAAAAAACTATTAGAGCAGCAATTAACATTATATAGAAACAAAACCCAAAACAAATTAAATAAAATATCATTGTCGCACTGTCATATAAACCAGAGCAAACAACAACTTAATTAACAAAATTAAACCGAAAACGGGCGCAAGATACACACTCAGTAATAAATACACTTCACTTTTATTATGCCAGTATCAACTTTATTCAGTTAATTTTGGATTTTATTTTTCTTCAAGTGTCAGTTTTGTTTGACCAACACTTGAACATACAATTGAAAACAATGGCCAAAATGTTTAAATACTTTTTTCTTACAATTTGATAATTTTGAATTTTTTGGCTTTTTTTAGATTTTAAAGTTTTCTTAAGCTAATTTCAAACAATAATTGTATCAAGATTTTTATCTTAAAAAAAAATACCAAAACAAATTCATTTTTAAAGTTTTGCAACCAGCAAGCTTAGCTTACGAAAATCAAATATACTCGGTATCTATTAAAATTCACATGATCTTTAGAGTGGGCGCTTTTTTAAGTAAAAAAAAAAAAAAAACTTTTTAAATATAAAAATATTTTTTTGTTTCTAATTCACTTAAATACAAGTACTAGATGCCTTTTTTGTTTTATTATATTTTAATAGTTTATTTTTTTTGTAATAAAATTTATTGTTTTATTTTGATAAAAGTAGTTCAGTTCAAGGGGTCATTCGAAGGCGTTATTAGAGTGGACTATTATTCCTTGGTTAAGCTTGTATTTTGTAATTCATTGTTTTAAGGTTTCTTTTTTTAGTATTTAGCTTTTTTTAAATTTTTTGGTTAAGATTTTTCAACTGATATAGTTAATGGTACTTGTTGTTTTATTTATATCATTTTTAATACATTAAAAAAACTAAATCTTCATTTTAAAAAGGTGCATTTAAAGTTTAGTTCAGTTATACACATATACAACTTTTTCAACTTTTTCAATGTTATTGTAACCTTTAAAAAACTACTGAAGGAAGAGGAATTTGGAAACCTTCAATTAGATTTCAAAGCTTTTTAGAATTTATTAAAACTTGCCGAAATGTATACCGATGGATATAGACAAAACCGTAATCGATTATATATGTATTTAGTCTCGACTAGTGTGGTATATAAACTCGACTATATCCAAATCTTAAGTTTGGTCTATTGTCTCGACTTTGATCTGCGCTAAAATCTCGACTATACTTTAGCCTAAGACTCGACTTTGGTCAACTCTACAGGATCGACTATATTGAAATCAACAATCTGGTCTATAGCCTCGAATATAGTCAGATCTATAAGCACGACTTGGTTTAAGCTAAAGTCTGACTATAGCCTCGAATATAATCAGATCTATAAGCACGACTATGGTTAAAGCTAAAGTCTATACTATATTAAGGTCTATAGCCACCACAATATTCTAATCTGTAACCTTGACTATAGTTATAATCAGGATTGAAGTCGAGGCAATAGTCCGGGTTGTAGACGAGACTATAGTTAGGTGAACTATAATCTGATCTAAAGCCTAGACTATAGTTTGGTATATTTTCTCGACAGGTCTATAAGATTAACTATGGACTCGACTATATTCTGGTCTCAAATTTGGTTTATTATCTGGGCCTATAGACTCGGATAGGATCGAGTATATTGAAATCTAATGTCTGGTCTATAGTATGGATAAAAATCTGATCTGTAATCTGGACTAGCGAGTAGTCTAGACAATATTCTATAGCCTCACCGTTATTCTATTATATAACCTCAATTTTTATCGTAATTAGGATTAAAGTCTGCGACATAGTCCGGTCTATAGTCAAGACTATTATCAGTTTTATAGTGTGGATTATAATCTGATCTATAGCCTAGACTATAGTTTGGTATTTTGTCTCGTCAGGTCTATAACCTCGACTATAGACAGGACTTGCACTACACTACTGTATAATCAATGGCGGCACTTTAGGCAGGTTAATAGTATTGGTTATAGTGTGGTCTATAGTCTCAACTATAGTCTGGTTTCTAATCTTAACTATAGTGTGATCTGTAGCCTCGACTATATTCTAAACTATCTGCAGTCTGTTTTATTGTCTGATCTGTTTTATTGGATTATAATCTGATCTATAGCCTAGACTGGTCTTGCACTACACTACTGTATAATCAATGGCCGGACTTTAGGCAGGTTAATAGTATTGATTATAGTGTGGTCTATAATCTCAACTACATATAGTCTGGTTTCTAGCCTCGACTATACTCTGACCTAGTTATAGTCTATTTTATTGTCTGGTCTGTTTTAAATACCTTCTATCTTGATCATAGTCTAATTTGGTCTATAGTTTCGACTATTGGTTGGTGGATTAAGGTAGTAATTCACTGTGTGCAGTCAAATAGAGTTGATAGGATTCCGTTTTGACAGGACCACTCTACACATCAGTATTATATAGTTTTAAATTCGGCCTGTAGCAGTAAGAAATCTCAGAGGGTTATTGAGTTTTGAACCATATATGTACCTCATCTAGGTTGGATATGGAATCTGTTTCTCTTGGCGGCAAGAGTAGGGCATTCATAGAGAAGATGGATCTGCTTATCTGTATAGCGCCCAATGTTCAGTTATCACTGCCAGCAACATCGATATATCCTGCCTATTCCGGGTTATATGCTGCGTAGAGCGTTTCTCATTGAAAGAAGGCCACATTAACTTGGCGCCTCTGGTCTCTATACTGGACTATAAACTGATCTACAGTATGGTCTATAATCTGACCTAGAGCCTAGTCTACAACCTGGACTACAGACTGGTCTATAAGCTAGACTATAGTATGACCTATTGTCTCTATTCTCATTCCCTCATTCACAAACAATTTACAAATCTATAGAGATTTTAAAAGTTTTCCTTGTATGGTCACTTTATTTACAAAGAATTCTTGTTAATAAATGCATTTCTTTATACTAATGCATTTCTAACAATTAGTAGTTGAAAAAATTGCGCATTTCATAGAACAAAGAAATTTAATATTGTATTACTAATTACGACCGCAACTGTAACTATTTAAAAATTTGTTTTCTTCTTATAACTGCATAAAATAGTTCTACTAAAATAAAATATTAGTAATACACCAAATGGATGGTTCAATTATACTTTTAAGTGCAAAAACTTTCTTTAACTTTAATTAGTAATCAAGTAAAAAAAATAAATCTGAAAAATAATTTGAGACTTCCAAAGGAATTTCACTGAAAAAAACACAAATTAATTTTTAATGCAATAATACTTTATTACTTTGAATAAATTTCTCTATATTAAAATCCACATTTAAAATTTAACAAACTGTTCGTAAATGTGGTATATTTCTACTTATAAACGCATTATAATCGCAGCAGAATGTCCAACCTAATTGAACGGTATTAGTAAATGTTAATGGACAATCGATTACTTGACATACATCTGGTGGTGGTTGAACTCGGCCTCGATGATGAATATTATTAAAAGTTAAGAAGACAACCGATTGTTGTCTATTTCTTACTATTTTATATATCCATAATGGTATGGGTATTTTGCGTGTATCTTGCAAAAACATTGGCACCCAACGGCCTCTAATATCTTGTAGCTTTACAACACAATTTAAATCTGTAGGTCGAACGCCATCCAGGTTACAATCTAAAACACCTGTGCAAATATCAGCCGGAGTACGAGTATAATCTCGGGCCCATTCTTCTATGCGTCTCCAATTTCCGTTGTCTATGGTTTTAAATTGGGGCATGACATTGATCATGTTAAAAGTGGAACGTTTGTAATTTGTTAATGTAAAATCGGCACTAGGTGTTAAGTGGCCACGATCAATAATGTGATCAAGATTGCCTTCAATCATTTTGTTTTGTGTAGAGCCCAATAGTTTGTTAAATCTTTTAACAGTAACTTTATGGTCAAAGGCATGAAAGGTGTCACCATAGAAAAAGTCATCAGGACGGAATTTTAAAAAATCTGGACGAACTCCAGCTATATAAAATAAATTTTAGAGTATTCGTACATTCAAAAATTATTTGAGGAAAAACTTACCCATAGGATATGCTTTATTAATAGTAAATACGGTCCGAAGATGTCTATGATCGAAACACACTTGATAAGTTTCCAGAAATTGTCTGTGCTGATTAATTTGTATGTTGAAACCTATTCTATATAATATGTACGGACAATGAGGAGCATTCGCTGCCGGTACTTGAATTCTTTCTGGTCTAATACTAAAATTTTCTGGGCAATTATCTCTCAAAGGCACATTTTGATTAAATCTGTTTCGAGCATCACAGTTAACTGTTATCAGTCTGGGATCCCTATTACACAGCATAAATACGTTACTATTTTCCGCCACATTATGATCTCTTAACAGTTGATATTGATTACGTCCCTCTTGTACTAAGAGCAAACGCCATTCGTTCAACCAACGTCCATTATGATAATTTAAATTACATGATAGCGATATTGTTATAACATTTAGATAAAATAATATTTTAATAAATTTCTTTAGTAGAGCCTTCATTATTAACAAAGTTTCTAGTGCAACTGAATAAATAAAAATGAATTGTCTTAAATATTACCTACAGTGAGGTTTAATAGAAGAGAAACTATAAATATTTGCAAAAGCAGACGTATTAATAAATAGATTTGTTTAGCGTATTTATTTCTGTTTGCTTCTAAATTGAATGAGTAACTTTTTAAAATGAGAATAATGATATAATCGTAAATAAAGTGACCAGATTTGGAAATTTGTATACCCTTAGTATACCCATCTTAGTCTATAGTCTTGTCTATAGTCTAGTCTATAATCAAGTCTATAATCAAGTCTATAGTCTAGTCTATAGTCTAGTCTATAGTCTAGTCTATAGTCTAGTCTATAGTCTAGTCTATAGTCTAGTCTATAGTCTAGTCTATAGTCTAGTCTATAGTCTAGTCTATAGTCTAGTCTATAGACTAGTCTATAGACTTAGTCTAGTCTAGTCTATAGTCTAGTCTATAGTCTAGTCTATAGTCTAGTCTATAGTCTAGTCTATAGTCTAGTCTATAGTCTAGTCTATAGTCTAGTCTATAGTCTAGTCTATAGTCTAGTCTATAGTCTAGTCTATAGTCTAGTCTATAGTCTAGTCTATAGTCTAGTCTATAGTCTAGTCTATAGTCTAGTCTATAGTCTAGTCTATAGTCTAGTCTATAGTCTAGTCTATAGTCTAGTCTATAGTCTAGTCTATAGTCTAGTCTATAGTCTAGTCTATAGTCTAGTCTATAGTCTAGTCTATAGTCTAGTCTATAGTCTAGTCTATAGTCTAGTCTATAGTCTAGTCTATAGTCTAGTCTATAGTCTAGTCTATAGTCTAGTCTATAGTCTAGTCTATAGTCTAGTCTATAGTCTAGTCTATAGTCTAGTCTATAGTCTAGTCTATAGTCTAGTCTATAGTCTAGTCTATAGTCTAGTCTATAGTCTAGTCTATAGTCTAGTCTATAGTCTAGTCTATAGTCTAGTCTATAGTCTAGTCTATAGTCTAGTCTATAGTCTAGTCTATAGTCTAGTCTATAGTCTATTCTATAGTCTAGTCTATAGTCTAGTCTATAGTCTAGTCTATAGTCTAGTCTATAGTCTAGTCTATAGTCTAGTCTATAGTCTAGTCTATAGTCTAGTCTATAATCAAGTCTATAATCAAGTCTATAGTCTAGTCTATAGTCTAGTCTATAGTCTAGTCTATAGTCTAGTCTATAGTCTAGTCCAACGGTTCCCAAATGGGGGTCCGTGGACCCCTAGTGGTCCGTAGTAAAATCCTAGGGGGTCCGCGAAGACAAACAATATTCTGCTTTTATGTAATAATCCCAGATTTTTTGGTAACTTTTTGAATTTTATTTTTCGGTTGTTTATCAGGAAGAAGCTAGGCCCTACAAATTTATTGTATCAGGCAATATCTTACTCTATATTGTATATAGAGTAAGATATTGCCTGATATGTAATTTTTATTTCCTGTATATGTAGTGAAACAATGTTTTTTATTTCAGACGGATAATGATCTGTCTTACAATTAAATAAGGGATACTGGTATTCCGGACTATGAAGTTAGATCACATTTCATAATTCAAAGACAAGCTTATACCATATTTAAGTTTGTCAAATTGTAAGCAAAATTGTTCTTGTTTGTAAGGACTAAAATTATATATTTCAAAAACTGAGCTGACTCTTTATGCACCTTCAATACGTTAATTTAGTTAATTTTAAATATAAATATTTCCTTCCGACGTGATACAAAGATTTTAACTTGATTTTATCGACCAATATTATTAAATTAACATCAGAAAATCCATAGCGTTTCGCGTAAATATGTAGGCAAAACCATGCAGTAAAAGTGTTCATGTCATATATTATGCGGATAATGCATTCCACAACAACATGGATGAAGTCCAACTTTCTTATATTATTTTCCCGAAAAATTAGCTCACTTTACCCCTCTGCAATCGCAATAAATTTTTGAAACGTGACTCCTTAAGCACATGCCGACAATATTTGATAAAGAAACCTTTTTGTTACCTTGAAGAAAAATGAACATGAAAGATCTCACGATCATAAAATTAAACATCATGTTAACATTTCAACAAAGAAGTCTTTCTATCTTCAAAACCATGCAATTAAAAACCTATCGGGAATATTTTATAGATATGACATCTCTACATTTATTTGACCTAGAGATTTATGGACTAGGTCAATTTTCGGACGAACAATTATTTAGAACAATAAGATATCAAAATATGTATGGAGGTCCGCGAAATTAAATAAGTTCCTCAAGGGGTCCGCGAAGTAAAAACCGGTGGGAACCGCTGGTCTAGTCTATAGTCTAGTCTATAGTCTAGTCTATAGTCTAGTCTATAGTCTATAGTCTAGTCTATAGTCTAGTCTATAGACTAGTCTATAGACTAGTCTATAGTCTAGTCTATAGTCTAGTCTATAGTCTAGTCTATAGTCTAGTCTAGTCTAGTCTATAGTCTAGTATAGTCTAGTCTATAGTCTAGTCTATAGTCTAGTCTATAGTCTAGTCTATAGTCTAGTCTATAGTCTAGTCTATAGTCTAGTCTATAGTCTAGTCTATAGTCTAGTCTATAGTCCTAGTCTATAGTCTAGTCTATAGTCTAGTCTATAGTCTAGTCTATAGTCTAGTCTATAGTCTAGTCTATAGTCTAGTCTATAGTCTAGTCTATAGTCTAGTCTATAGTCTAGTCTATAGTCTAGTCTATAGTCTAGTCTATAGTCTAGTCTATAGTCTAGTCTATAGTCTAGTCTATAGTCTAGTCTATAGTCTAGTCTATAGTCTAGTCTATAGTCTAGTCTATAGTCTAGTCTATAGTCTAGTCTATAGTCTAGTCTATAGTCTAGTCTATAGTCTAGTCTATAGTCTAGTCTAGTAGTCTATAGACAAACAAATTTTGTTTGAATAAACCCTAAAAAAACTTTGAACTAAAAAATAAGTTTTACGAAGGACCAATAAACATGCTGGTCCTTGAATTAAGTTTAAATTCTTTTAATATTAATAATAATAATAAACCTTATATTCAAAAACACCTTTAAACCTTGTACCGAAATGCTTTTGAATCTAAAGTTTTGTTATTAAAAACCAAAAATTCATATTACATAGTTTAACTTTAATAATTGAACTAGTTTGCTTTACAGAAAATAATATGTTCTTATCGGAAACTGGTATCAGTGTTTTTAAGAAAAAACTTAAACTTCTAGTCATATCAAGGCTAAAAATGCTATAAAAAGAAAAATAAATAAAAAAAAAAAAAACAGCCAAAAATATACGAATATTTAGCATATGACTGAGTGTTTGACTTTTGTCAATAAAAATTTTATTTTTCAGAATGTCTATGTTACGGTTTTTGTTTCGCAATTTTGACCAATATAAATTCAAGTTTTTTTCGTTGTAATAACTGACTTTATTAAACAAGGTTATTAACGCATAACGGTTTTAATGCAATATAATTTTATAATTTATGACTTGACAATTAAAGAATTTTTTAAAAGAAAAAAAATGGTTTAAACATCGTCAGGGTTAGAGAAATCAATGCCTAGAATATAATGTAGACTATAGTCCAAACTATAATCAATAACATAGTTGTAGTATAGACTATAATATAGACTGTAGTCTGAAGTCCGGACTATAAATTAGGCAATCGTCTGAAATATAACCTACAGTCTGAACTATACAACATACTAAATAATAGACATATACTAATTAAACTATAGTCTGTGTATAAAGTGTGTGCCTGGGCAGTAGACTAGATTATAGTCCAGTTTATAGTCCAGAATATAATCTGAACTATAGATCAGACTATAGCTATATTTACTATATAGTTTACAGTCTAGCCTAGATTATAGACTATACTATAATATGTAATATAGACTGTACTATATACTATAATCTGTACTATAGTCGGGACTATAGACGAGACTTTAGTCAGGCAATAAACTATGCTATAGTTTGGACTATAGACTTAACTATAATCTGGAGAATAGACATGACTAAAATCTAATATTTAGACTAGTCTATAGACTATACTATAGTCTGAACTATATACTAAACTGTAATCTAGACTATAAACTATACTGTAATCTAGACTATAGACTAGACAACAGGCTTGATTATAGATTTAGCTATATCCTAATCTGTACTATAGACTGGCATGTAGTCTGGACTATAGCCTTGTATATAATATATACCATAGATAAGACTATAGACTGGACTATAACTTGACTATGGCCTATACTATAACCGATACTATAGTCCGGATTTTAGATTAGAATCTAGTCTGGTCTATAGTTTAGACTATAGACCAGAATACAGATAACACTATAGTCTGGACTATAGACTAGACTATAATCCGGATTATTTATTACACTATAATCTGGACTATAGATTAGTCTCTTGTCTGGACTTTACACTATAGACATTTTTATTTAGAACAAATGAATACAAATCTATATTAAGTGTAAAATTAAGATGGTCATTGAGGCACTTGTTATCACAAAAAAAGGTACTTTTCGCTACAAGACCACTTTATAGGAACTTTAATAGGTTTTATATTTTCAAAAATTTGTTGTTTTTTTACGAAAATGTAATTTCACTTACCTTAATTTGTTACATCTTTCAGAGTTTTGAAGAAGATTTCTGTCTATCACACACCTAATTTGCATATTTTTAATCATTCTTATTACACCACACCATAATTTTAATTTTTTTTAGCTTTGTTATTTTTCAACACTTTTTTTATCATAAAAAACATAAACAAGCTTTTCATTTTTATTAAATTGCAAAAACAAAATGAACCCGGCATTAACATGCCATTAAAAAGAAAAAACAAAAAAAAAGCAGCAGTAATAATAAAAACAAAAACCTTGTTATTTATTTTATTATTATTGTTGTTATTGTTACTTTGGAATAATGCAAGTATTGTAATTAGTTTATGCAAAAGAAAAAACAATAACAACTATTAGGCGACAAAAACAACGTAGTATTTGCAATTTACAACAATAACAACACAGAGAGACGACAGACATCATTGACATTTTATTCTTTTCTTATTAAAACACAATCACACACACTTTAAACACTTTTATTGTTGATTTTAAGGCACAAAACTATTAAAATTTTATATTTATTTTATTATTTAACAATTATTTAATAGATTAGTTAAGTTTTTATAATTATTTAAAAGTTATTTACTAAAGTTTATTAAAGTTTAATTATCACTACAATAAACCGAACTGCTTGCTGCTGGCGGCAGTAAACAAAACTGAGCCAACAAACATTAACGACGGCGTTTAAACCAAACATTTCGCCGGCAGCTTAAAATCGACGTTGTATGACGGTTAAGTTTTCAGTTTTTTAAATTTGTTTTTAACCGTATTAAATGGAAACGAAATCTGAGTGATTTAAAATTGTGATTTTGAAGGCAAATATTTAAAAAATCGGTATTTTTTAAAATCTCTGCATATTATCGAGACTTAATACTATTTAATTAAAAAAAAGCAAAAAAAAAGGTAAAATCATTTTTGATATTTTTAAAAAAACACATACATAGTTATGCTATGTTTCTACTGAGGCGTTTTGAACAAATCGAGTGGATTTGGGCAAAACTAGTTAAAATCATGTTGATTTGCCATAAAGTTAAAGCAAATCTAGCAGATTTCAAGTAAGTATAAGTATATCAAACGAAAGTCTCCAAATCTGAAACATGTTCAAAAATATCTGAAAAATCAAGGTTTTTCCGAAATTAAAATTGTTTGTAAAGTAACGTATAATACTTTATGAATACAGTTAAATTAAGGTACTCAACTGGTGTCTACTTTTAGGTGCGCTTATTTATTTGTGACTTTAATAAAATACGTCAAACCGATATTTCTGTGCACAGCAATTTCTCCTCTAGAGATTACAAACCAACGATTACGATAACTTATTAAATGATAAGAAAAATTCCAAACATTTCATGAGAACTTATGGGTACACAACAACAATTGTGGTCAAATTATTTTAATCAATATTTTGATAAAAACAAAACATATTTAAAGCAATTTTTAACACAAAATAAATTTAGTTTTAAAACTAATCTCTTTTCACACTAATCTTTCCCCACAATACAATTCAAATAATGTCGGCTGATCTACAACCAAAATACATTTCTGCCAAAGAAGTGGAAAAACTGCTAACCTGGCCGCTAGTAAATGCAGCCGTAGAGGAGGCTCTAAAAGCCACCGGACAAACAGAAATAGATCCAGCAAATCTACAACATTCCTATGCTGTACAACCGGCCCGTTCCAGTACTCCCTGTGGTGATCGCACTAAGCTATTAATGTGTATGCCCGGATTTGTAGGCAACTACCAACTAGGTGACCCCGCCGGCAAAAAGAAAAACACCATAGCCTGCAAATTGGTTACATCATTCGCCTCCAATCAACTGCGCAAACCACCAGTACCCAATATCTTGGCCAATATTTTACTTTTCAACACTGAAACTGGACAATTGCAATGTATAATGGATGGCACTCAAATTACCGCTTGGCGTACGGCAGCCGCTTCTATAGTGGCTACCAAATATTTATATTTCAAACGTTTTCCTGAAGGTGTTAATAAAGCCATTAAATTGGCCATCATAGGCTGTGGTGTACAGGGACAATCTCATGCCTTGGGAATGTGTAAGACATTTAATGTTATTGATGTTTATCTTTACAATCGTACAAAAGCAAAGGCCGATCAATTAGCCGATAAATTAAAGGCGGAATGTGTCATCCGGGTTCATGTTTGCGATTCAGCCGAAAAGGCTGTACAGGATGCCGACGTGGTATGTGTGGGTACTTATTCGCCTACAGCATTAATCAATTATGAAATGCTTAAGGGCAGTGATGTTCATATAAATAGTAAGTATTTGGACAAAATCAATAAAATCTTTAGTAAATATTTGTTTACCTTTGTAAATTTTTTTACAAATTTTAGCTGTCGGCGCTGGCCAGGTTCATTTTGGTGAAGTAGCTCAGGATATTTATGACCAGAGTGTGGTATATGTTGATTCTATGGTTAGTGCTAAAGTGGAGTTGAAAGATTTAAAGGCTCGCATTATAGGCGAAGTTGGTGAGGTTATACGCAATGGCAAGAGAACGGAAAATGAACGTATAACTATCTATCAGTCGATGGGTAAGTTCCTGGCAATTGGATTGAAAGAATTGGAATTTTATGAAAAACTTGCAAAAAATTTTAAGAAACTTAGAACTTCTCTTAATAATAATGGGGACTCACAGCCCGTTTAACAATCTATATGATAATTTTAATATTTTTCTTTTCCAGGCATTGCTGCTGAAGATGCCACTGTTGCTCAAGCTATTTACGATGCTACAATTAAGGATAATAGTTGTCAATGAAATACAATTTTCTTATAAAAACACTAAAATTGTAGTAAATATTTTCATTCAATAAACAGATCAAATAAGACGGATGTTCCATTCCATTAGAAAATTCAAATCATGTTATAACCTATATCTATCTATCTATCTATCTATCTATCTATCTATCTATCTATCTATCTATCTATCTATCTATCTATCTATCTATCTATCTATCTATCTATCTATCTATCTATATCTATTTATCTATCTATCTATCTATCTATCTATCTATCTATCTATCTATCTATCTATCTATCTATCTATCTATCTATCTATCTATCTATCTATCTATCTATCTATCTATCTATCTATCTATCTATCAATCTATCAATCTATCTATCTATCTATCTATCTATCTATCTATCTATCTATCTATCTATCTATCTATCTATCTATCTATCTATCTATCTGTCTATCTATCTATCTATCTATCTATCTATCTATCTATCTATCTATCTATCTATCTATCTATCTATCTATCTATCTATCTATCTATCTATCTATCTATCTATCTATCTATCTATCTATCTATCTATCTATCTATCTATCTATCTATCTATCTATCTATCTATCTATCTATCTATCTATCTATCTATCTATCTATCTATCTATCTATCTATCTATATATCTATATATCTATCTATCTATCTATCTATCTATCTATCTATCTATCTATCTATCTATCTATCTATCTATCTATCTATCTATCTATCTATCTATCTATCTATCTATCTATCTATCTATCTATCTATCTATCTATCTATCTATCTATCTATCTATCTATCTATCTATCTATCTATCTATCTATCTATCTATCTATCTATCTATCTATCTATCTATCTATCTATCTATCTATCTATCTATCTATCTATCTATCTATCTATCTATCTATCTATCTATCTATCTATCTATCTATCTATCTATCTATCTATCTATCTATCTATCTATCTATCTATCTATCTATCTATCTATCTATCTATCTATCTATCTATCTATCTATCTACTATCTATCTATCTATCTATCTATCTATCTATCTATCTATCTATCTATCTATCTATCTATCTATCTATCTATATATCTATCTATCTATCTATCTATCTATCTATCTATCTATCTATCTATCTATCTATCTATCTATCTATCTATCTATCTATCTATCTATCTATCTATCTATCTATCTATCTATCTATCTATCTATCTATCTATCTATATATCTATCTATCTATCTATCTATCTATCTATCTATCTATCTATCTATCTATCTATCTATCTATCTATCTATCTATCTATCTATCTATCTATCTATCTATCTATCTATCTATCTATCTATCTATCTATTACATAAAACATCCTTTGCAGGAAATCTAAAACTAGCTTTTTATTTAAAATTCACTTTAGTTGTTCGCCACTTTAAACACTTTTTAAATGAATTCAAAATTGACATTATAATAATCACCTGTTGTTGTTGTTGTTTCCTTAACTCCAAAAAATGATATACATTTAGAAAGCCTTGTATATATTTTTAAATAATTTGTAAATTTTTTTTATTTAATGTCTTGTTGATTTTTTTTATTATTTTTTTGTTAAATTTTCTTTTTTTCTTGCATGTTTTTCATCATTTAATTTTTTAAGTAAAATTTATTTTAATGCAATTATTTTTTTATAATAATTTTTTATGTTTTCTTTTTTAAATTATGGGTATGGGTTTTTGTTTTTTCTTGCATCTTTAGATTTTTATTTTTTTTTCATATTTATTTTTAAATTTAATATGGTAATCCTAGAGATTTTTTTGTTTTTTTTATGCATACACTGTTATTTTTTTATTTAAACAATAATAATTTCAAAATTGAAATCTTTTTTTAATATATTTTATTTATAATATATTTTTCGTTAATTTAAAGAGATTATAGAGAGAGTTTGTTAGAGAGAAAGAGAGAAAAGGGAGGGAGTGTTGGGGTCAGGCATGGGAAATTTATAACAAAAAGAGTACTTTTATAAGTTTTAAAGAACTGAACTAGAACAGAACTAGAAGAAACCTAGAACTGAACAGGAATAGAACTGGGACAGAACTAGAACAGAGGAGAACTAAAACAGAACTAGAAAAGAACTAGAACAAAACTAGAACAGAACTGAATCAGGACTAGAACAGAACAGAACAAGAACTGAAGTAGAACTGAACTAGAACTGAACTAGAACTGAACTGAACTAGAACTGAACTAGAGCAAGAACTGAACTAGAACTGCACTAGAACTAAACTAGAACTGAACCAAAACTGAACTAGAACTAGAACTGAACTAGAACAGAACTAGAACAGAACTAGAACAGAACTAGAACAGAACTAGAACAGAACTAGAACAGAACTAGAACAGAACTAGAACAGAGCTAGAACAGAACTAGAACAGAACTAGAACAGAACTAGAACAGAACTAGAACAGAACTAGAACAGAACTTGAACAGAACTTGAATAGAACTAGAACAGAACTAGAACAAAACTAGAACAGAACTAGAACTGAACTAGAAATGAACTAGAACTGAACTAGAACTGATCTAAAACAGAACTAGAACTGAACTAGAACTGAACTAGAACTGAACTGGAGCTGAACTAGAACTGAACTGGAGCTGAACTAGAATTGAACTAGAACTGAACTAAAACTGAACTAGAACTGAACTAGAATTGAGCTAGAACTGAACTAGAACTGAACTAGAACTGTACTAGAACTATCATATCAAAAAGTACTTATGTACTAAATTTTCCATGCCTGGTTGGAGTTGTCTGTTTGTGAGTGTTGAAGTGTCTGTGTGTTTATTTGTGGTGGGGGGAGGGCGTAAGTTGTTTTAAGAGTTGTTGTTGTTTTTAATTTGTTTATAATATTTTTTTGTAATTAATTTATGTTTATATGCTAAAAATTGTTAAGAATTTTTTTTTTGTTTTTTATCCATATATATATTTTTATTAATTTATATATGTTTTCATTATCTTTTAATAATAACTATTGGGGGAAACTTTTTTTTATTTTAAATATATTTTTATTTTATTTATATTTATTTTTTATATGGGGTTTTTTGTTTTAATTTAAGTTTTGTTTTTATATTATTATATTAATATTTATATGTTTTATTTATATAATATAGATTTTTGTTTTGTTTTTTTTATAATAGTAAAATACTCAACAAATATTTATTTTTTTTTTTTTTTAATTATAGATTTTTTTTTTTTTAATTTAAAAAAAGTATTTTTTTATTTTTTTTCTTTATTAATAATAACTACATAGTATTTTGCTTTTAAATAATAATAATAATAAAAAATATAAAAGGAAAACATAAACAAATTTAAATAAATGTTTTAAAAAACATGCATTTGTTGTAGATTTTTTCCATTTTTAAATCATTAAATTATTATGCCTTAAAAAGGGTGTTTTTTTTCTTCTTTTTTTAACAAAAATTAAAATATATTATTCAAAATAATAGTTTAAAAAAATATATATATATTAAAAACTAATTAATTAAATTAATTGTTTAGCATAAACTATAATTAAAGTGTACGATTGTTGTTTGACTTATAAAATAAAAGGAAAATTGTGTTTTTTTTTTGGGGGAGAGAAAAAATTTTATATAATTTGTTTGTTAATTTTTTAACAAAACAAAAAAACTTAAAAATTATTTTAAAAAAACTTATTTATTAAAAAAAAAATAAAAATTATTTAAAAAAAAAAATTATTTATATAAAATTTTAATTTTTTTATTACTTGGTTATTGTTCTGAACGTTTTTTGTTTTTTTTTTTAATTTAATATTTTAAATATATTTTTTTTAGTTATATATAAAGAGTTTTACTATTTACAAAGAGTTTTAAAGTAGCATTGTTTTTTTTTTTTTTTTCTTTAAAGCTTAACTTAAAAAATTGTTTTTTGCTTTTAATTACTAAAAGTTTGTTTTTCTTATTTTTTGTTTAATTTTATATATTTTTGTAATTTTATTTATAGAAATATTGAAGAACAATTTGTTTTTTGCTTTTGTATGTGTTTGTTGTTAAAGGGGTTTGGTTTTTATGTGGGGAAAATGTTTTATTTTTTATTCATACCAATCATATTCTTTTTGTTTTTAATGAATTTATTTTGTTTTTTTTTTAAGTTTTATATTAATTTCTGTAATTTTTGTTTTTCTATTAATTTATATGGTTTTCTATTTTTTTTATTAAAATTTTTGTTAATTTAATTTGTTTTATTAATACACATCAATTTATTTTGGAATATTTAACTAAAGAAAATGTAAAGAAAAAGTTTTGTAATGGTAGTTTTTAAACAAAAAAGTTTAAAGTTTAAAGCAAAAAATATTGTATTAAAAGAAAGACTTAAAAGTATAAACTTCTAAACCAAATATACTTTCTAATAGAGTAAAAGTTAGGCAAGCTTCATTTTCATTTGGAGGGGCAAACTGTCTCCTAATTAGTTGAGTATATGGGGACTCTCTCTTTAACGCATTGAAGATCGTTTATAATTAGTTTTTAATATAAAGCTTAGTCGATCACGTATACCTTAAAATTCGTCTTGCTATTAAAGCCGTGATAATGTCACTTTATGTTCTAAGATATCAAGGGAAAGGAAATTCTCTTAAATTAGACGATCAGCGAGCGCAACTGATCATTGATCGTAATATTGTCATTGAAATTTATTTTCAATATGAATCATGATCATTCGATTACGAACATAGGAAATACCGTAAAATTCGTTAACATTGTGTTCTAAGATGTCAGGCCAAAGAAATTATCTCAAATTAGATAATCAGCATATGAGTCATCGAATCGTATTTTCAGTATGAATGATCTTTTGATTACGAACATAGTTAATGTGCATCCTCTTCTTGTTCCCTTAATAAAACAAATTATTCATCTATTTATTTTCCTTACCTAATGCTATTTGATTGCAAAATTCTACTAAAACTATCGAATGCCTTAATATCCACAACAACAGAATTACGATCAGTAAGTAGATCATTAAATATTTATAGTTTTCAAAGACATTACCCACAACTTCCCAAGACATTGAACTTAATTGTTTGATCAAATGAAATGGAATTTATTATAAAATTCCTAAAATGGCTGTCAAATTTGACAGTTGAACCAGTAGATAACCATTTCCGTGCTACATTGATTAAGAGCGAATTACATCATTCAATATTGAGCGAAATTTCCACTTAAGCTCAATTGAGATTCGGTGAGATCACCATGTGACTTATGGTGACATTCTTGCACATTTAACTTGTGGAAAATGCGCTCTGATCGATCGACGAAACAAACTGTAGAACAAATTATATCCCAATGCTTCCGATGCTTTCAAACCATAAAAGATCATAAGTTCATTTCACTTGACGATCATCATCATGTGATGGGTGGTGATATTCTTGCACATTTGACTGTAAAAGAAGTTCAGTTGCTTCGGAGAAATTATATCCTAATGCTTCAGATGCTTTCAAATCGAAAGAGATCAGTTAAGTTAAAGTTGGAAACTGACGATCATTCAACAAATAAACCGAAAAATCATTCTGCTTTAGATTGCATTAATCTTATGCCGAAATCAAACTATCCTAATATAACTGATCGTGAATATCAGATTGAGATTTCAATAAATTTACTTTAATTTATCCCTTGATATTTGAAGACCATCTTATAACTTACTTCTCTTACGGAATAAGAGGGATTTCCCTCTGTCTCTCCCGTGGCGTTTTAAGTGATCTTTGAGAAATGCAACGTTCCATAATGACGATCGATCTTAGTGATGGTGCTCCAGAATTCATCAATGTTATGCCGAAAGCGTTTTAAATAGTAATATAACTGATTGTGATGATCAGATTGAGATTCATGTCAAAATTTGAAGATCATTATGATTAGATTAAGATTGCGATCGATTTGCAATAATCATTGATATTACATGATCATTATGTGATCGATAAATTTTTCAATTTGCCAAACGAGGCGTGAGATCTTTCTCCCATACTTTGAGCACTAAGGCAGGAAGAGCCGGTTTAGAAATCCATTAATTTGAAAATGTTCCTAAGGTTGATGACCAAACTCATGCAAATAGACAGATTTGATACTTCATAATTGTGACGGTCAGAGGAGCATACAATCATTCTGTTCATTTCACTTGAAGATCATTATGTAGCTAATCGTGAAATTTTTCATTTTTGACTTTTGTAATTGTAACGTTCTTCCCCGGGGAAAAAACTTCCAGTTGATACAGCTGTTGCTGAGTTAACAAGCTTTGGTCGATAGGGAATCGGGTCTTTCCGGAGCGAAAATCCAATTGTCGTGGAAACGACTTTTGACTGTGAAAATGGGCCCTGATCGATTGATAAAACAAACTGTAGTGCTTTAGATGCTTTCAAACCGAAAGAGATCATAGCTAAGTTAATGAAGTTGATAGCATACGATCATTCGATCATCATTATCGTCAAATTTTCTATCTTTGTTTGTCAGAAAAACCAATATTTGTAAATAGACAAACTACTTCCTCTCCAAATGAACAAAACTCTACAAAAGTTGAAGATCAGCTCTGAAAACTTTAAAGCAAATAAGCGATCTTCCCTTTCTGAGAAAGTCGGTGAAGTGAACAACTTTTCAGTCAAATAATGTATTTTCAATCAAACGAAAGAAGTTTCTAATAAAACTTCGAAATAAAGACAAAAATTACTCACAAAATTAACATTAACTTTCTATTAAACATTCTTTCTTAACTTATAAACTATTCTTTCTTTTAAACTTTAAACTCTCTAGCTAACACTCTATTTCTAAACTAATGTTACAAAACTTTTTCTTTAATATTTTCTTAATAGTTTTAGATTTTGTTTTTTTGTTTCTTGAAGAAAAATCTCAGTTTTGTATCTACACAAAAATGGTTGTTTGTTAAATAGGTTTTTTTTTCTTGTTAAATATTATATATAAGTATAATAATAATTTTGTTTATTTTCTTAAATATTTCCATACGAATTTTGTTTATTAATTTACTGTTTAAGTTGTTGCTTTTTTTTGCTGTTAAGGGCAAATTTTAATAAAATTTAGCTGAAATCGAGTTGGTTTTTTTTTTGTTTAATTTTTTTTTGTATTTTTCTTTCTTGTTGTTGTTGTGTTGTGGTTTACTAAGCTTGTTTTTTTTTGTTTTTAAAGTAATATCTAAAATTTATTATATAATAATTATTATTATAGATGTTTGTTTATATTTATATATATTATATATTTATATTAATATTTATATTATTATATTTATTTATAATAGTATTATAATTAATAATTAATCATAAAAGTAGGCTTATATATTTCTTCCATACAATTAATTTTAATAATTTTTTTAACTTAATTTTTTTCTTTTTTTTTTTTTTTCTTTTGTAATTTTCATTATACTCATATTTTAGTTGTTGTTTTCTTTTTATAAAGAGAAATTTTTATTATTTTTTTTTGTTTTAACAAATTACTTGTTACTCTGTTGTTGTTTATTTTGTTAAAATTTAAAATTTTTGTTACTTTTTCATAACCTTTAAATTCAGTTATTTGTTTTAAATATAATAAATTTTTAGTTTTACATTTTTTCATTGTTTTTGTTTTGTTATTAAAGTGGTAGTTGTTTTTTTATCTATTTATATAACACTTTTTTTCTTTTGCTATTTTATTACTTTTTTTATGGTTTGTTTTTCATTCTTGTTTTCATTTTCTTTTCATAGAATTTAAAATCCTTTTACTGTTATCGACTAGTAGTAGTTTATTTTCTAATGCTAAAGTTTAAAAGAAAAATTGTTTTGGTTTTAGCTAAACTGCCTTTTGGTTTAAAATATTCAATGACTTCCAATTTGTTTAATTTAAATTATTGTCAAAATTTTTGTTTAAAATTTAATATACTATTAAATAGTATTTTATTCCTTTTTTTAGAAAATGTTATGTTGTTGTTTAAAAAAAAAAATCTTTTAGTTCAGACTATAGTCCAGACTATACTTCAGACAATATTCCGGTCTATAGTTCAGACTGTCTACTAGACAATAGTCCGGTTTATAGCCCAGACAATACTAGTCTAGACTATAGTCCAGGATATAGACAGTCTATAGTCCAGGCTATAGTACAGGCTATAGGCCAAACTATAGTCCAGTCTATAGAGCAGACTATAGTCCAGTCGAGGCTACAGGCCAGACTATAGTCCAGGCTATAGACTAGTCTATAGACAAGACTATAGTCCAGGATATAGACTAGAATATAGTCCAGGATATAGACTAGACTATAGTCCAGGATATAGACTAGACTATAGTCCAGGCTATAGAGCAGACTATAGTCCAGGCTATAGAGCAGACTATAGTCCAGGCTATAGACCAGACTATAGTCCAGGCTATAGACCAGACTATAGTCCAGGCTATAGACCAGACTATAGTCCAGGCTATAGACAAGACTATAGTCCAGGATATAGACTAGACTATAGTCCAGGCTATAGACTAGACTATTGTCCAGGCTATAGACTAGACTATAGTCCAGGTTATAGACTAGACTATAGTCCAGGCTATAGACTAGACTATAGTCCAGGCTATAGACTAGACTATAGCCCAGGCTATAGACTAGACTATAGCCCAGGCTATAGACTAGACTATTGTCCAGGCTATAGACTAGACTATAGTACAGGCTATAGACTAGACTATAGTCAAGGCTATAGACTAGACTACAGGCTATAGACTAGACTATATTCCAGGCTATAGACTAGACAATAGACGAGGCTATAGAGTAGACTATAGTCGAGGCTATAGACTAAACTATAGTCCAGGCTATAGACTAAACTATAGTCCAGGCTATAGACTAGACTATAGTCTAGGCTATAGGCTAGACTATAGTCAAAGCTATAGACTAGACTACAGGCTATAGACTAGACTATATTCCAGGCTATAGACTAGACAATAGACGAGGTTATAGAGTAGACTATAGTCGAGACTATAGACTAAACTATAGTCCAGGCTATAGACTAGACTATAGTCCAGGCTATAGGCTAGACTATAGTCCAGGCTATAGGCTAGACTATAGTTCAGGCTATAGGCTAGACTATAGTCCAGGCTATAGGCTAGACTATAGTTCAGGCTATAGGCTAGACTATAGTTCAGGCTATAGGCTAGACTATAGTCCAGGCTATAGGCTAGACTATAGTCCAGGCTATAGGCTAGACTATAGTCCAGGCTATAGGCTAGACTATAGTCCAGGCTATAGGCTAGACTATAGTCCAGGCTATAGGCTAGACTATAGTCCAGGCTATAGACCAGTCTATAGTCCAGGCTATAGGCTAGACTATAGTCCAGGCTATAGGCTAGACTATAGTCCAGACTATAGACCAGTCTATAGTCCAGGCTATAGGTTATAGACCAGACTATAGTACAGACTATTGTCAGTCTATAATCCAGACTATTGATAGTCTATAGTCCAGACTATAGTCAGTCTCTAGTCCAGACTATAGACCAGTCGCTAGTCCAGACTATAGTCAGAATATAGTCCAAAACTATAATCAGTCTGAAATTTAATATTTTCGGAATAAAATTTTTCAAAAAATTACAAAATTTCTAAAATTCTAATTTTAATTAAATTTAAAATTTTTCAGAGAAAAGAAGAATTTTTATAAAATTCTTTACAAAAAAATCGAAATTGGGAAAACAATTTCTAAAATAGAAACAACAACAACCATTTTACGTATTGCAATAGTAAACTTTAAGTCGAACAATTTAAAAAAAATTTTTGTAATAAAAATTATTTAAAATCTTTACCTTTTTTTCTTAATGAACTTTTTACAAAAAAAAAAAAACTGCGGCGCATTTGAAAATTAACTCATATTTTTCTTAACAAAAATATTTAAATTTTAAAGCCAGTTTGCTTTTTCAAACCAAAAAAAAATCCATTTTCTCTTAAACTCTTTTCTCTAACAACAACCAAAAACACCGCCATGCACACAACTTTTTATTTTTAGTTAAAACAACGAAGTGTTTGCGTTTTCCAGCAGCATTCCATGCCCCCTTTAAGAAGAAAAAAAGAGAAATATCTGGCAAACGGCAGTGTTAATTTCTTTCTCCTTAGGGTCGGCAGGGTACAGTGGTTCTTTGTTACTTTACTTAAGACTTTTGTTATTATAGTGAAAACCATAAATTAAGACAAGGTTAACATTTTATGTTGCTGCTGCTGTTGTTTGGAACGACACTGTTGTAAAGTTGTATTATTGTTGGCGGTGTGTTGATGATGGTGGTGTTGTTGTTGATGATGATTTGTAGTTTTAGCATGATTTTTTAAACTTCTACTAAGGTTAGTAGTAGGATTATTATTATTATGATGATGATGATTACTATTAATATTATTTGTTTTATTGGTTCTTCTGCTGTTATGATTAGTATGATGTTGATGCGTTTGCTGTTGGTGTTGCTGATGATGATGGTGTTGGTGTTGTTGCTGTTGGTAATGATGATGTTGCTGTGGTGTTTGATGATGCGTCTGCTGTTGTTGTTGTGGTTGAATATTGGGAGAAATTTGTAACTGATTCTGGTTCTGGTTGTTGTTGTTGTTGTTATTATTATTTGTATTACTACTATTACTTTGTATTAACTTTAACAATTATGAATTGGAATTACGTTTTGTGTGCAGCTAGGATGAACTTGATTGATTTAGATTGCCAAACATGCCCGCTGAAAATGATGTCTGTCCGGCAGAATTGGCTTGATTGCCTGAAGATTGTTGTTGTTGCTGCTGTTGCTGTTGTTGCTGCTGCTGTTGTTGTTGCTGCTGTTGATTCAGCGATTGACCACGTCCATGTTTGGGTATGGGTGGTTGTATGTATTCGTGCCGCGCCAGCGCAAATACATCCATACGATCTTCTTTGCGATAAGCCAAACAGCCTCGTATAAAACTCTATATAACGGAAAAAAAGAAGAATAAAAAGAAAATAAACAATAATTATAATTAAATATTAAAAAATATTTCCTTTTTTATCTTTTGCTTACCTTAGCTTCATTGGATACTGTTGGTTTATTGGAGAATTGTACTTCGGTTGCTTTTAATATGGTATTCTCCTCGAGTATCGTAGCCTGCGATTGATTATGGCCAAATGGTTTCTTACCATACAAACACTGATAGAAAATTACGCCCACACTCCAAACATCAACTTTTGAAGAGATTTTTGGAGGATTCTTACCCACCACAAAACATTCGGGTGGCAAATACCTATAGAGGAAAAACACAATTCGTTATCAATATGGTTTCTTCTTTATGTCTTGACTAGAAAACATTAATTATATTTACGGTGTTTTTGTCCCACCCCTTTTTTTGTGTGTTGTGTTTTTTTTTTTAATTTATGACAACTTACGTTGAAATCCCTCACATACTCACCAATAGGTTCCCGCTCCTTGGGATGTTAAATCCATACCATGATCTGGATTATAGTTTTCATCATCCATTACTTTGGATAGACCAAAATCTGTTATTTTTATTTCGCCGCATACATTGCCTTCGGTTAGCAAAATGTTACCCGGTTTCAAATCGTAATGTATAACTGGTGGTTTAATCTCATTTAAATATTTTAAAGCAGATACAACCTAAAAATTTCAGAAAAAAATTTTAAAAATTAAAATTTGATGAATTTTTTAGTGAAACTAATTTTTGGTGAAATTTTTTAGTAAAAAAATTTTTGGTGAAATTTTTTAGTGAAAAAAATTGTTGGTGAACTATTTTAGAGAAAAAAATTTTTAGTGAAAAAATTTTTGGTGAAATTTTTTTGTGAAAAAAATTTTTTGGCGAAAAAAATTTTTAGTGGAATTTTTTGGTGAAAAAATTGTTTGTGATTTTTTTTTCAAAAGTTTCTAGTGAAGTAAAAAAAAACATTTTTGGTGAATTTTTTAGTGAAAAGAATTTTGGTGAAATTTTTCAGTGAAAAAATTGTTAACAGAACTTTTTTAAGTAAAAAATGTTTGTTGAAAATGTTTGATAAAAAATTTAGTGAATTTCTCTTGAATAAAAAATTTGGTGAATTTTTTACTGAAATCTTTTGAAAAAAAATTAAATTTGTGAAATATTTGGTAGAAAATCAGTTTTATAATATATTTTAGGTGAAAAATTTAAATTTGGTGAATTTTTTTGGTAAAAAATCTAATATTTAATAAAAATTTGATTTTGGTAAATTTTTGGTGAAATTTTTTAGTGAAACAAATTTTTGGTGAAATTTTTTAGTGAAAAAAATTTTTGGTGAAATTTTTTAGTGAAACTAAATTTTGGTGAAATTTTTTTAACCAAATTAATTTTTGTTGATAAAAATTTTGGTGAAAAGTTTAAATTTGATGAAATTTTTATGCGAAAATAAACACTTTTGAGTGAAATTATTTTTAGTGAAATTATAAAATTTGGTGAAATACTTTAATAAATATCTAAAATCTTGCGAAATTTTAGAGAAAAAATTTACAATTTTGTAAATTTTTTGGTGAAAATCAAAATTTAATGAAATTTTTAAATGAAAGTCCCAAATTCACTCAAAACTTTGGTTGAAAATCTAAAATTTATTATAATTTTTGGCGTAACAACCATGTTTGGTAAAAATTTCACCAAATACAAATTTGGTGAAATTCCAAAATTGGGTGAAATTTTTTAGTGAAACTTCAAAATTGGGTGAATCTCTAAAATCATGCAAAAGTTCACTAACTTTTCTTTAAAATCAATATTAAGTGATTTTTTTAGGTGAAAATCAAAAGATAGTGAAATTTTTAAGTGAAAATCCAAATTCTTTGATTTTTTTGGTGAAATTATTTTAAAAATTTTTGGGTTACAAAAAAATTTGCTGAAAATTATGAAATTTTTGAGTGAAATTTTAAATTTTTTAAATATTCTAAAAATCTAATTTTCTTTAAAATATGAATTATTTTGGTAAAATTTTTAACAAAACTCACCTGCATAATAATCGAACGTGCTTCACGTTCGGGTATCGTTTTATGTTGTTTTAGATAGAAATCTAAATCATGACCATCACAATATTCTAAAACAGTACAAAATGAATTGGCGTCTATTTCGAAGACATCATATAATTTAACAACTCTGGGATGATCCAAAGCCTTATGGATGTTATATTCTCTTAAAGCATGTCTGGAAATAAAAGACGAGAATTAAATAAAAGTCCTCTTTTTATATTCCATAAACAATAAAACTCATACTTGATATAATTCGCCTTTTTATCTTCTTTCCAATCCTTATTCAACTGATGAACTTTACAAGCTACATAACGTTGCTCCTTTAAATCGAAGGCTTTGTGTACCTCGGAGAAACCACCCTTACCCAAGAGCATAAGCAAAAGGTAACGATCATTCAATACTGGATGATTATTAAAGCGGGACTAGAGAATGGATAAACATATTAAAATATAAATGAAAATTTGTATCACATAAAAAATAAAGTCCTTAAATCCTACCTGATCTTCATTGAGTATCCGTTTTAATTCGCGTATATGCAAATTACGTTCACGTTCTAATTTCTCCATTTCCAATTGTAGATCAGCATCTTCTTTTTTCAGAGCATTTTGTCGCAATTTTAAAATCTCATCGTATTCGTAATATTCTTGAGCGGTATAAACACCCGATACGGGATCAGGTTTAAGGAACGTTGCTGAATCTGAACCACTGTTGGAATTATCACCGCGGCCGGAAGTACCACCGCCACGATCCGATAAACGATCACTACCCATGCCAGTGCCACTGGTACCACTACCACCGCCATTATGCAGCAGTTGACTTTGAGCTTGTGATGAATTGGAACGCGTGAGACCGCGGCCACTGCCACCACCACCACCTGTGCCGGAGGTGACACCGATGCCACTGTCACTGACCGACAGCCTTTCGCAACCAGTATTAAGATTGGAGGAATCATTTGAATTGGAATTTTGCTGGTTATTGTTACGCTTGCGACCTGATTCGGCCGGACGTTTCTTCATCAACTGCTTCTTTTGCCGGTCGATTTCTTCGCGTTCGGCTGAGATTTCTTCCTGCCGCCTACTCAGCTCCTGGAAGGCATAACCATCGGTCCAGTTTTCCTGGAATGTAGCACCTACACGTTGTGTAACGAATTGGCCCAGCCGCAGGCGATTCTGCATGCACTTCTGGCGGGCCTCCTTCTTTTCGATACTGGACTTTTCCTTAAGCAGCTTCTTGACGACATCAATACACTTGGCTATATGGGATTTATGTTGATCTATTAGTTTTTGATGAGCAATAATTTGACATTTTTGTTCATCAGACAGTCTTGTCATCTCATCCAATTTTGATTTACTGGTTTCGTTTTCTGAATCACGTTCCTGCATGTCGGGTAGTGAGAGGTCTGTTTGAGTTGCTTTGGTAACCATCGCGAGCGACGGTTGTTGTTGCTGCTGTTGCTGTGTAGGAGTGTTGGGAACGCCGCCGGGAGTGGCTAGCATGCCGGCATGTTGCAGTGAGTTGAGTTGTACGGCCGCCACAGCAGCCAATTGTTGTTGCGAGGTTGTCAGAGTCTGTTGCACTGTGGTGGCAACAACGGAAGAGGCGGGAAGTTGATGTGTTTGCGTCTGTTGCTGCTGGGGCAGCGGAGGAGGTGGTGGCCCATTGCCACCACCACCAGCTGCGGCTGAACCGCCGATCAGGGCAGCCGTTACCGTGGCATTGTGGACCATGTGGCTGCCGCTCAGCAGGCCAACATTCGAAACACCCACTAGAGGTGACTGTGGAGGAACCATTGCGTTGGAAGTTTGTGGTTGTTGCTGCTGTCTCTGCTGCTTGGCCGCAACGCTATTCACGGCCGCTACACTGCTGTAGTGGAATTCAGGAGGCGGGGGTTGTGAAGTTGGTGTCGACGGTATGCCAGGTGCGTTCATTTGTGGTTGTTGTGGACTAGGTGGATACATGGGATACGTGCTGTTACCGCCTACAGATGTTGGCACTTGTTGAGGCTGCGCCGTCTGGGCCGTTGGCTGCTGAACACCGCCGCCGGCCGAGGAGGGACTCTTGGAGCCGCCGCCAGCCGTGTGTCTCATGGGACTATTAGTGGCTGCTGTCTGTACAGTGTGTTTATTGAAATAATCATTGATTTTCTTATTATCTCCCGATGAACCAGCACTGCCGGGTGGTAAGAGGCGGGCATTCTTGACTCCACCACTACCGCCGCCACTACCGGGCAACTGAAGACGTTCCGCTTGAGCACCTAAATTTAGAGATAAATTTGCTTTTAATAACTGTGAGCCTGAGGAGGAATTGTTGTGTTTTGATGCTTTAGAAGCGTTGCTTGAATTATTACCTCCATTACCACCGCCCGGACCACCCCCACCACCGGCACCACCACTATCATCGGCATGCAATGCCGTAATTTTCCTTTTACGCTTACGTTCTGTGGGAGTGCGTGATAACTTTTCCATGCGACCACTGCCGCCACTCGTTGATCCCGAATTATTTTGTTGCGACACCTGATGGTGTGCAGCATGTGAATGATGATGATGGTTGGGTGCCTGTTGCTGTTGCATATTTGGATCTGTCGATATACCCATACCGCCGGTATTCATCATACCGTTACCAGACGAAGACGAAACAACTGCTGCTGCGGCTGTTGTTGTATTTGCTAGGAGACCGATTTGTTGGACAATACCTGTGGACTGTTGCTGTGTACTTAACATGTCGTTAACATCTTTTTCACTGTGTGACGAGCCAGTGCTCATATTCGAGTCAGGATTACTGCTGTGACCGCCACCACTATGATGACCGTGATGTTGTGATGATGATGTCAGGGGTACAATATTGGGCGGTTGTATTTGTTGTAATTGGGGAGGAGGTGCTTGCTGTTGCTGCTGCTGTGTTGCTGTTTGTTGGTTGGCTTGATGTTGTTGCTGCTGCTGCTGCTGCTGTTGTGGCTGGTGATGATTTGTGGCAAGTGTAGGAGGCTGGGAATAATGTGTTGTTAAATGTGTTGGCGGTGGAGGAGGAGGTTGCTGTTGTTGCAATTGCAATTGTTGCTGTAAATGTGGTTGCTGCTGCTGTTGAACCTGTTGTTGAACTTGTGACAAATGTTGTTGTTGTTGCTGCTGTTGATTAGGAGCAAAATGTTGTTGCTGCTGTGGTGTTGTTGTATGATGGCTTAGAGACGTCGAGGTTTGTGGGGCCATCTGCAATTGAGCGCCGGCGGACATCTAAAAGAAAATTTAAATAAAAATGATTAAAACTTTTAGTACTTTTGTTTAATATTTAGAGAATTGTTTAAATTAAATTAAAAAAATGAAATATGAAAAAGATGGAATTTACTGAATTCTACAAAAAATTTTAGTTTAATTTAAAAAATATTCTCAAAAACTTGGGTTTTTTTTATAAAATTACAATTAATTTTGTAATTGATTTCAAAGATAAGTTTTTGTTGTAATTTATGAAAAAAAAGCGTTAATTTGATTAATATTTAATAAAAATAGACATCACTGCTAAAACAAATGCAATAAAAAAAACCGAAGTTTTTTTTTTTCATGAAAAGTGTAAAAGAGAGACAAAAATAAAACAAAAATTAATAAAAATTTTATTTCATTTGTAAATAGAGACTCACATTTTTTAAATAACAACATTTTTACTAAATTTATTTTACAATTATTAAACACAATAATTATTTATTTATTCAAATAATTTTTAATAAAATTTTATATTAGTTTGCCGATTTTTCTTTTTAATTTTCCTTCTTCTTTATTGGTTTTTCTTGTACTTCTTCTTTTGTCCACACAGTTCTATTTAAATTCAATTCATCAACAAAACAGCTGTCTTTTCATTTTTTCTTTTCCTTTACGAATGAGAGAGAAAGAGTTAACACTATTTAGTTGATGTTAAAGGGAAAGAGTACACGAGAACGTATGACAGGGAAAAAAACCAGTGTTGTTAAACGTTAAAAAATTACGATGACAGCAAATAAGAAAAAAAAATCAAAACACAGAGAGCGAAAAAAAAACACGAAGAATTAAATACACATACACACAAAAACAACAAAAACTCACGCACTCTTCTGTGTATACAAAAAAAAAAACTCACTGTGAAAACAAAAACACTTTTTTTTTACACTTTTTTTTGTATGACGGCGTAAAGAAACGCGAATGAAAACGAAATGTCTATAGAACCCCAAATGTATTAAATGAAGACAACAACAACAATAATAATAATAAAAATTAAAGAAGAGGTTTGCATGTAGAAGAAAACGATAAAGAAAAGATGAAAAAACGGGCAAAAAATATATTTAAAGCAGACATGAGAAAAAATAAAAATGGCTGCCCGACAAGACTTTAAGATAGAAAAAAAATTTATTTATTTTATTAAAGTTAATACGTTGTTAATTTTTGTTAAATAAAAATTATGATTTTTGTTAAATTTAAACAAAATTTCTTTGAAATCTTTTTTGTTCACTTCACACCTGTTTTAAATGTCTCATTATTTCTTTTATTTTTGCACCAAAATAAAAACACAAAATTAAAATTTTTCTTTTAAAACCATTTATTTCATTAGCATTTTAATTCATTAAATCCTCCTTTACTCAAACTACAATTTTCAAAACTTTCATTCACTTTTTCAACTCTTCATTTTATTTTGCTATTTTTTCTATTTTTTTAATTAATTTCTTTTCAAAATTAAATTGTTTTTATTTTTATTGTCATTTTTTTTTTTTTTTTCTTTTTAAATTGACAAAACACTCAAAAAATTTTAATTTTCCTAAAACGTTTGTGGTTTTTTGGGTAAAAAGCAGAAATTATTAAACTTTTTCTAAAAATCTTCAATTGTGTGAGTGTTGAGTAGTTAAAATGCTCAATTTTTATTTCTTTTTGTTACTTCTTGTTGTGTCACGTCTTTCTTCTTCTTTCACAAAAACGGTATGAAAGCAAAAACTCAAAAAAATAATAAGAAAAAGCAACAACAATTACACACAGCAGCAAATAATTGGTTATTTCATTTTTCACTTCGTCATCGTTGTTGTCTCATCGTCTGATTCGTTTTTGTCGTTGTGTCGTCGTCGTGTTGTCGTTGTCAAAGTCGGCAGCCATTGCCGAAAATCGGTAATAAAAAAAAATGAAAAGAAATTGATGAATATTTAATCATGTAGAAAAAAAATTTGAAATGAAATGAATTTTTCTTTTAATTTTTGCAAAAAATTTTCTTTTTTCAAAACACTACCCCACAAAAACACTTTACAACACTGGCTTTAGGGTTTTCCTTTTCTATTTTACTTTTTATTAAATATATTCCATTATATTTAATTTATTAAAAAAAAACACTTTTTAATTTCTTTTTTTGTTTTTGCTAAAAAATTTTATAATTTTTGTATGTAATTGGCGAATAAAAAAAAACTTGTCTTGTTCCGCGAGACGTTGATAATGTTAAAAGGAAGGAAGAGAAATATTTTATACACCAATAAATGGTCATGATATAGTGGTGGTAGTGGTGTACAAGTCTTTCTCTCTTTTTCGTATGAAAATTTTTTTAACAGTAACGTACATGTGTGTGTATCAGGGTTGGCGAAATTGGTACATTTGTACTTTTATATTTTGGTACAAACGTTCCTGAATAATACAATGCTGCTTTTTAAGTTTAATGGACTACCGAAGTGGTTAGTTCCAATTCGATAGTCTAGCGTATAGTCTAGTCTACAGTCTACTCTACACTCTAGTCTATAGTCAAGACTACAGACTAGTCTGTAGTTTAGTCCATAGTCTACTTTATAGTCTAAAGTCTAGTCCATAGTCTAGTATATAGTCTATTTATTCTGTAGTATACAGTCTACTCTATAGTCTAGTCTGTAGAGTTGTCTATATTCTAGTCTATAAACCATAGTATAAACTATACTATAGATCATACTATAGTCTAGTCTATAGTCTATTCTGTGGACTACTATTATCTAGTCTATTGTACTACTCTACTTAATAAAAATTACAATCAGAATCAAAAAAGTACAATTTTCGCCTCTGTTTTGTACACATTTAGAAATCAATTTGCCAACCCTGGTGTGTCTGTATGTATCTCTCATAAAAGTGTGTGTATATATAATAGAGAAGTAGAAAGAAGCAAACAACAAAAAATATGTAAAAAAAAAACTAATAAATGGGTTGCCAATTCGCCTCTATGAAAATTAAATGGGGACTCGATTGTATCCAAAACGAAAATGTAACAATTTTCTGCAAATTTCTTAATTTTAAGTTTAAAATTAATAATTATTCTTTACCCCAATAAAATTTATAAATATTACTTTAATTTTTAATTATATTTATTTAAATTTTTGTTATTAAAAACATCTTTTATTTCTTTTCCCCCATATTTTAATATCGTTTTTCATTTTTGCTTTTTGACGGTTCTTTCGTATTTTTGCTTTGTTCTCTCTCTTTAGCTGTTAACATTTTAGGTGTGTTAGTGTGTGTGTGTATGAGTACATTTTTGCCATTTCTGTTTACATTTTTTTGTTTGATAAAAACAAGATAAGGTGTTAAATTAACAGATGTCAGGTCAATGAGGTATATCATTTTCTTCTGTTGTCTCTTTTTTTTTTCTATATAAAATTTATTATTTAACACAGTGGGACATTAACATAATAAATGCCTGATTAGCAACCATGTTCGTAAAACAGGGTAATGTAATAGATAGTGTTATTTTTAGTAATCAAAAATTCTTATTGGATTAAAATTGTTACGGGACCGGCAATGTTCTTCTAGGGGATTATAATAATAGTTTTAGGCTCCGCGCCAAACAGGGTGACATACACTTAATGTTTCAAATGAAAAGCTTTGTCTCTCGGAACCCTTGTAATTAAACTCTCATCAAATCCAATAACTGACTTCCCAATGAGGGATTACAAGGAAATTTTATACCTAATTACAATTAACCTTATGGTCTCCAAGTGGATTTGCAACTCTTAAACTAATCTATCAGTCCACACATTGGTAGCTAATCAATCTTGTTACTGATTAGTATAAGAACTTTAAAAATTATATGAAATAGGTATAAGAACTATTGGAATCATATTTTGTGGTTCTAATGTGATCATAAATATTAAGTGTCATCTGACAAGTCAATAGCTTTCAAACATGGATACTGAATATCGGTTCCTGAATGTTTCATTTGAAACTCTTTTTTCATAGATTTCCATAGAGATGCAACTCCCTGAGAAAAAAACTTCGGATTGTTAAAGCTGTTGATTAGTTGGCACTTTTTGACTGAAAGGGTATCAAGTCGTTCCGGAGGGTACATCTAATAGAGGTGTTTCACTGGTTGTTGTTGTTGTAACAGCTTAAATTATATAATATTAAAAGGGGGGTTCTGTGTTAAAATCCAAGTTAAAAAACAGGATTCATCCTTAAATCCATTGGGCTAAGTGAAGTAGGGTGGACTATTCAGTTGACAGCTGATTCTACCTGCCGGAATGACCCGAAATTATGTACATATCTGCTAAGGTCTGACAACAATTTGAGAATTCTTTGAAAACTTCAGTAGACTAGTGTTATTCAAAATATTATAGGATCTATTAACATTTCGTTAAACTTTTGTTTTAATTTTTTTTCTCAATAGCACAAGTAGTAACCCTCCTAAACCTAAAACATATTCTTCTTACTGCAATAAATAATTGAGAATATCAAAAATGGAAGAAAAAAACAAAACCGTTGAAAACCAGATTAAGTATGCATTTGCAAACTTTTAGACACATTACCAGGAATTTGCAAAAATTCAGATACACACACACACACACCTCAAACAAATACAAATAATTTTAACACATACACACAATATTTTGTGAATAGAAGAAGCTGAAAAAAAATTCACCCCTATTATAGTGAAATTCTAAAAATAGGTCATCATTTACAGAAAAAATTGCAAAAAAAAAACTAAGTATGTATGTACATACATATGTATATAAAAATCTATATAAAGTAAATTTTAAATTAAACAGGAGAACAACAATGTACGAACCAGTTGATAATATGAAATAATTAAAGAGTAAATATTAATTGCACACACAATAAATAAAATAACATTAGTGTGTATACAAAAAAAAAAAAAATTGAAACAAAACGTTAAAAAAATATACAATTCAAGTAGGTATTTATAACAAAAATTAACGACGACCAAACACGATTGCCGACCACACAACTAGTGTTAGAAACAACAACACAAAAATCAAGCA